CCGGGGCCCGCGGATGGGCGGGCATGGCGGGGAGCAGGGACGACGACGCCCCCCTCATCCTCCCCCTGGAGGAGGGCGGCAGCGGCGCCTCGGCCGCCCCCGACGACGAGGAGCTGCCTAACGAAAGTAAGGCCGCTTTGCCGGGGCTGCCGCCCGCCGCGCTCGCCTCCCGGGTTGCCGTTTCGGGAGCTCTGAGCTCTCCTGTTTGTCCGAACCTCTCGTCATTCACATTCCAGCAGTTGCTGGAGAGTCGCAGTAGGAAGCTGCTGTTTTTATTTTTTTTTTTTTTTTTTGCTGTTTGTTTACTCCTAACACGTGTGTTGCACCATGCGGGGTGGAGAGCACTGGATCAACTGGTCCTGCAGATCTCTTTTCCACCCCGTATTCCTCGTGGTTTCCACGCTGTAATGGGTGACCTCCCTGTCCCCAAGCTCTGTGCTTTCCCCTGTGTGCCAGCCCAGAGCTGCTGCTTTTCTTGGCACGGACTCGTGTGTCACTCCGCTGTCCCGAGCTGTCAGGGGCAGCAGCTGTGGCTACGTCACTAGTTTTCCCTAGAGCCATAAAGCATCTATTCTTTGCAGATATTGCTTTGCCTATTTTTAGTTTGCATTTTGATTTTTTTTTCAGTAAGAAAATATGTATATATTGATAAATCTTTCCAGGTTTCTTTTATCAGAGAACCTGGAATCCCTCTAGATGGTTTTTATTTATATCCCTGCTAATACCTGAGACAGAACCAGCTTATGAGAGTTGAGAGAGGGAAAACAAAAGTGCCTCTCAGAGAAGCATTGCTCCCTCCCCCATATATGCCTGTTAACACGCTCATCCCTTGGTAGATGAGGTGGGAACAAGAGATGTATTTAGTCAGGTTCACCTTTCTTTTTGCTTATACCTCATAAATGTGTTTCAGCCACTTTGTTCATGGTGTGTCTCTGACTTCTAGTTGACATTGCAGGCGCGCGCTCAAGTCTTGTGATGCCTCTACAAGCCCTTGCTGCCATAGGCTTTAAATTTCTAACAAATAAGTCTTCCCTGGCTAGGATCCCACTTTCCAGCACTGAACCTCCACTTGTATCCACCCATTTGCCTCATAAAATTTAGCTTTCTATTTTTAAGTTAAATAAAAGCAAGAGGGCCTCCTCTACCCAGGAGTGTCTTTCTAGGCCTTCTTGTGACTAATTGCAATTACTCTGCTCTCCTCTTTTTCTTCTTTAAAGTGATGGGAGGTGGGTGGAAGAAGCTATATGGGTTTCAACAGTTAGTTAGAGCCAAAGCAATTGTGTTAAAGCAAAGCTATGAGAATGAACATACTAATAAATAAAAATATTCCACAATCTGCTTTCCTTGAAATATAGAAAATGTGTTTAAGGACAGATTTTTTGCTTCTTAAAAGATGGCTGTGTGATCTCTGAGACTTCATTTCCTGGAATTATTCGAACTCAGTATTGAAGAGCAGTTATTTTGCAATATATTTTAATCAGTATTAAAGTTGAATTTTATGGAGAAAATATAAAGCCTCTTCTATCCGAGTGATTCTGCATCCCACAGAGCCTTCTGAAGTTGGTGGGACACAGCAAGTGTGGAATCGAAGATTAAAACAGGCAGGCTGATATAAACAACTTGAAAGGCATGTTTATCTCTGACGAGTGGGAAGCTTAAATTAGTGAGTGAGAAGGCTAACACCATCACTAGAAAAATTCAGTTGTGTAAGAAAAAGAACATATATTCTAGCTTTTCTCTTTGTCTGTAAAGAAAATTTGCTGTGAAATATGTATAAAAAGAATTCTGTCTCCTGGAGTTTGTGATGAATTCAAATGTTTCCCCTCTGCCTTGTCTTCATTTTTTCCAATGAGCAGTGGAATGACTTTAACAAAGCTGTGTAATTTTATGGTTTTTATTTGTTTTGTTTTTTATTGGAAGCTTTTTTTTTTTTCCTTGGCAGATCAGGAGACTGCTTCCTTCTCCTGTTTTTGTTTTCCTTATGCCTAAATCCTACCAATAAAAAGTTCAATTGAAATTTGGACAAATAGCTACTGAATTTGGAGAACAGTTGCTGTGCCTGACCATTGTATTTAAACTGTCAACAAGTTTTTAGTAGTCTTTTATTTAAAAACTTGTCCTTTAGTACAAACTGGGGCTGTTTGCAAGGAGATCTCCTTATTTCTTAGGAGATGATGCTGTGAGAAAGACAAGAAGGGCATCACCCTTGATGCTAAGCCAGGTACCAGCTTATTGAGAGTAAAGTAGGATTCTTGTTCTGGGTCGCTATGCAGATGGGTTTCTCCAATTTAAACCTCTGTTCCAGACTGTCACAACCATCTCTCACTTAACCTTAGTCATAATATATATGACTTCCATACGTCAGCTTTTACTTATTTATTAACACACTTGTGCTGTTGTTTGTCTTTATCTGTCATATAGCTTTGCTCAAAATGGGTCCTTGGACAAATGATTTTGATAGTCTTGTGCTCTGGATGTTGGTCATCTGGAAATACAGATAAATTACTTGGTTGCAATACATAGTAATGCAGTTTTCTGATATGATGCTTATAGCTAATTTCTTTTTTCCTTAAAACAACTGAAATGCATGAATATATTCCTTTCCAAGTTTGGCAAAAGACACCTCTCTTGGGTACAGTGAGTGCTTTGGGATTAGAATGAAGACCTAAATAAGAAAACTGTGTGGAAAATCACCACCTTAAAACAAATGTCCAGCTGCAAAAATTAATCTCCCTAGTGACAGAGCTCTTAAGCACTTAATAGGGGAGAATATTTGCATGGGGAGGAGTGTTAAAATTCTGCCTTCCATTTCTTGGGCCGGGGTGTTTTCTAGGAAGCTTCATTTTCTGCCCCACCGAAAGGTCAGAAGGCTGAAACGTTGGCTGGAGTTCGGGTGGCCTCCGGGCAGCTGCGCTCCCTGGGTGCAGCCCGCGCTCCGGACGCGGCGCCCAGGCCTGCGGCGCTGGGGAATTTTCCCTCCAAGCTTTAGGAGCTGAGGGAGAGAAGCGCTGCCGTCGCTGCCGTCCCTGGCTTCTGCTAATGCGTGTGAGGCTGCCCTTTCCTCACGCTCTGATCTGAGTGTGGTGCACGCTCTAATCAAGCTTCACAACATTTAAGTGAGGTGAATGGCTAATAAAATCCGAATTTGATAGAGGGGGAAAACCAGGATGCGATTGTTGTGCGACCTTGCCCAAAGTCACCTAGTGAGCCCCTGCAAATAGGAGGAAACAGCAATTTCTAGTCTCTCACCCGAACTACTACAACATAGTAGCTGCTTAAAATATCTCCAAGTGTGAGGTATGTTTTCTGTATACAAAGACAGTGTGGATGGCCTTGAAACTCTAGGACAGTGTCTCTCCTTGAGCTGACGGGAACTATCAGCAATAAATGAGTGTACATTGATTTATCTTGTATTAGAGCAGATACGAGATTCTCCTTTGCCTCCTGTGTGGAAATTGCTGGAGCCTCAAGTGGAGTTTCAGTGTGTTCAGAGCAGAAAGTGCAGCTGCGAGTGCTGTGCAGGGAACAATGTGGTATTGTGGGCTGGCTTCTCCCACACAATGGGTTATGGCAAGTGGAAGAAGTCATCTCAACTCTGGGCTTTCACAGCAACGCGGCTGCATCTTATTGGGGTAAAAACGAATTATCCTGCTTCCGTGGGGGGAGCAGCAGCCAAGTGTGGTGTTTTCTAGCAGGATTGTTGCAAACAGAGAAGTTGTAACTTTGAACCTTACGTTCAATGCGTTTGAGCCTCGCAAACTTGGTTCCTGCTGCTTGGGGAGCAAGTTTTTAGGAAAGCCAAAGAGACACCCTGGCCTTTGGGGTTGGAAGCAGGGAGCTGTTGATGAAGGTGCCTGCAAAGGAGACGGTAGCTCCAAGTGCATCAAGCAAATGCTGTTTTGCTGGTGGTGAATTTGGAGCGGCTGTCCTTGTTGGGCTTGTGGACAGTGACTGTTTCTCTTCCTTTGCTGTCTCTAACAGAGTGTGTGTTGTGCATGCTGGAGCAGCTGCACCAGGGTGTCGTCCTGCCTTGCCGTTCCCTTGTACCTAGTTCCTCGATGGAGTTTGTGAAGAGGCTTTTCAGGCTGTTCTTTTTTACTTTGCCATTGGCCGAGGAAATCTGTTCCGAAGGTTTTGAATGCCACAAGCCTAGTTAGGACATTTGTGGAAATTGTTTACAAGCAACTGGTCTTTTTTGAATACCCCATGTCCTAACGCACTGGTGGACACGTCCCTTCAGAAGCGGGGACAGGTAGTGTTGGTCTTCTGAGATGTATGAGCAGCCTGGATTTTAATGTCATGAGTACTTACCGTGAAACCTGAAGGGATAAAAGTTTCCTCTGTGCTGGATCCAGCTCCAGACCATGGTTTTACCTGCAGCAAGAAGAGTTTGGTGCTCACAGTGCACAGCCCCAGCCTATCTGTGAGTGAGCCCCTGCCTTCCAGCAGCTTGGCTGCCGTCTTCCTGCTCTCATTTCCTTTAGTGCCGGACAAAAGAGATTTCCAGATGTAAACCAACACGGAGCACATGGCAGAGTCACTGCTGGGCCCTTGGGAGGTCTTGCAGCCCCACGCAAGCTCTGAGCAGCTCTGCTTCTTGAGGAGCGTTTTAACTGCTGAGAAAGCAGTCTGACTTCAGTATCTCTGAAGAAAACTGTGCGTTTCTAGTGTCAGCTAGCTAGTGGATTTAATAAATCCATCGGGAACTGAAGGTTTTGATCCTCGTGTGGAAGTGCGAAGGCGCTTATTCGGGCTCGTGCACTAGTTATGAAATGTTGGAGCTAACCGGGCTGGGGAAAGAGGGCGGGGGAAGAGAACAAGCAGGATGTTTGAATTGACCTGGTAAATCCTAAGATCTGTGACAGCCAGGCTTTTAAACAGCCTTTTGGATTATCTGGTGACTTTCCTGAATATGCAGGGTATTTTCTTGCATGGTGGCTTCTAGTTCTGCTGATTTGCCTTTAATTAGTTCCAGTAGCAGTGCTTCTGCTTCTGCATTTGGAGGCGAAGCATGGCCGGAGTACAGGACAGGGATCTCATTTTCAGGAGCAATCTGGTTCTGTGATTGTTTCTGTTGCTTCTTGTACCTTGAGTAAGTCACCTAATGTCACTGCAGCTTGTAAGTC